AGAGCACGGGATAAGGTGGACGAGGAATTGGAGCAGAAGTGGGGGTGTGGAGGAGGTGCGGACGGACGGATGTAGTGATGGATGGATGGACTTTTGGAGCTCAGCTTGGCGAATGGTCATTCAGTGGGTGGCGCATACCTGGCACCGGCTAAGAAGGTGGAGAGCACGGTGGAAGTGTGCCCAGCACCGCGCTCGGCCACATCCGCTGACGCTCTCCCGAGAAGTCCCGACGGTACGTGTTCAGCCCTCGGCACCAAGGAGGTCCCGAGGTTCTTTCCGAAAGGGGCAGCTCTTCGTCCTGTGCCGATGCTTGACGGCCCTGGGGCCTGTTGGAAGGGGCCCCTTGGGGGCCGAGAGCGAGGGATCGCGCCCAGACTGAAGCAGTCCCCGTCGGAGACTTGAGTTGTCGCTTCCTCCTCCTCCTCCTCCCCCTCCTCCTCCTCCTCCTCCTCCTCCTCCTCCTCCTTCTCCACAATGACTCAATATGAATACTACTCTCCTCCTTCCCCTGATGACGGGTTGGGAGTGTTCGCCCCCCCCCCCCCGCGTATTGTTTTTTACACAGGATTCCCTGGAGTTGGGTTTTCGTTTGCATTTGTTTTCCAAATGCTGCTCTCGCTGAGGCGCCGGCCTCATTTTTGGGCCCCGCTCGTTCCGAATCGTGCTCCCGCTGCAGCGCGGGCCTCATTTCCGTGCTTCCGCTCGTTCCGAATCGTGCTCCCGCTGCAGCGCTGGCCTCATTTCCGCGCTTCCGCTCGTTCCGAATCGTGCTCCCGCTGCAGCGTTGGCGTCATTTCCCGTGCCATGCCACGGCATGCAATGCAATGCTAGGTTGCGTTCCGCTGCGCGATGCCATGCCTTCAGCTGAAGCTGTGATATGCAGTGCTTAAGTGCCACGTCGTGCTATGCCATGCTACGCTTTGATCTTCAACGCCATGCTATGCAATGTTATGTTCGGGGCCGCTGTGCGATGCCATGCTTTGCGTTGCAAAGCTTTGTGATGCAATTCTTCACTACGCCACGCCACGCCATGCTGTGACATACTACGCTTTGCGGTGCTCTTCTACGCCATGCCATGCCGTGCTCTACAATGCATCGCGTACCCTTTCGGGATCATTGCCCTGCTCGACATCCGACTGTGCGAGTAGAGAGGGGATCTACGCCATGCTAAGGGATGGGAGGGAGGGGTAGGATGTCAGATATGACGCGAGCGCACCTAGCTTGTCCTCCCCCCTCTTCCTTCTCCCCCCTCTCCTCCTCCTCCTCCCCCTCCTCCTCCTCCTCCTCCTCTTCCTCCTCCTCCTCCTCCTCCTCCTGGAGGCTTGAGTTTTCGGGGTCTTAGCTCTGGCCGCAGGGCCGTCGTCGGACCCTGGATCTTTTTTTCATGGCCTCAGACCCAATGATGGGCCCCAGAGGCCGAAATCGAGGAAAACGCCGGCATTGAATATCGCCGGAGATCTGGGGGGAATCGACATCAGACGTCGTGAAAGAAACACGGCGCCGCCGAAAACCAAGCCATCGCCAGTGATGCCCATGTTTGCGCGAAACTCTTCGAGCTGCATCGGCCGAAGATGTCACCGCGGGCCCGTGTAATTAGGGGAGTTGCGTTAGCGTTTGTAGCAATGGCAGTTGCTGTATCAGTGGTAGTTGAAATTGTAGTAGCAGCCGCAATTTCGGCAGGAATGTTGGCTTAGCGTGTCGCGCCGCCGGTTTCTTTCCCACCACGCTTCGGCATGACACGCTAACGAGTTCCCAAGCCCCAAGAATCAACGTCCCGAGCTTTTCCCAGCCTCCCATTCCAAGAAGCGGAGCGACACGATATCCGCTTGCAGTGCTTAGCGTGTCGCCAGGGCCGCCGCCGCGACACGCTGAGCAAAAATTCCCGACGCCCCGGCAAGCGACGACCACAACGACAAACAGCGATCACGCCGACGCCGACGACGACCACGACGACGACGATGACGACCCCCGCCAGACCCGCTCTCATGTCCCGCCCGCCCGATCGCTGTGAGGTCCAGCCTGACTGACCCGCCAGCTTTGGTATCCCGTCCGCCCAGCGAGCCCGCTGCAACGCTCCAGGCCTCCTAGATGGGGTCCGAGTAGATGGGGTCAGAGGATCGCGCTGCCTCGCCGATGCATCGACGATGCGGTTCGATGTGGAGCCCGTGTCTCCCCACGCTGACGTCGGCGATGCGGCGCGATCCTTCGACCCCACCTAGTCGGACCCCATCCAGGAGGCTTCTCAGCGTCCCGCCCGTGCGGTAATCCTTTCCATCTCGCAAAGGGTTCTCGCGAAGCGAATGATTCTATTCTCGCGAAGGCATCTAAGATCGCCGTCGAGGCCGCCAGTGCCTCGAGCCTCGAGCTTCGCGGTGCCGCCGCCGCCGCGCCGACCTGCCAACCTGCCGCCGCCTCCAGGCAGTGGATGCACCGGCTGCCTCTCCTCGGCCGCGCCCTGGACGCGTCGCTGGGCTCGCGCCACCCGCGCGCGGCCTCGCAGGCACGGGAGCTGCCCGCACCGTGCGTCGTCGTCGCCGCCGTCGTCGCCAGCGTCAGCGTCGTCGTCGTCAAGGTCGAAGTCGGCGTCGTCGTTTGCGTCGTCGTCGGCAGCGTCCGTCGCCGTCGCCATCGTCGTCGTCGTCGATGCCAGCGCCGTCTTCGTCAGCGTCGTGCGACGTCGCCATCGCCGCCGTCGTCGATTAAAGATCGGGGGCTGAGGATCGAGGACCGAGGTTCTGTAGCCTCTCCGGGCTGCCTCGGGTTACGGGTGGATTTGCCTCGACATTATAGCCAGAAGTCATCCCAGGCGAGGTCAAGGGGGTTGGTTGTCGTTGTCCTCGGCCTCGTCCTCGCCCCCCTCCCCAAGTGGGGAGGAGGAGGGGCTGGATGAGGACAAGGAGCTTGAGAAAATGCGGGAAGAGGGTAAGGAGCAGATGGGGTTTTGGAGCGGGGTGCGTTACCTCCTCCTCCTCCTCCTCCTCCTCCTCCTCCTCCTCCTCCGTCTCCCTCTCCAGCTAAGCATCCTTTTCTATTCCCCCTCCGTCCCCCCCCCAGCCTCTTCCTCCATCTTCCTCCATCTCCACCTCCTGCTCCTCCCTGCTCCTCCCTGCTCCTCCTCCTCCTCCTCCTCCTCCTCCTCCTCCTCCTCTCCTCTTACTTCTCCTCCTCCTCCTCTCTTCCTCCTCCTCCTCTTCCTCCTCCTCCTCCTCCTCCTCCTGCTCCTCCTCCTCCTCCTCCTCCTCCTCCTCCTCTCCTCCTCCTCCTCCTCCTCCTCCCCTTGACCTCCTCCTCCTCCTCCTCCTCCTCCTCCTCCTCCTCCTCCTCCTCCTTCTCCTCCTCCTCCTCCTCCTCCCTCTCCTACTCCTCCCTCTCCTCCTAGTCGTCCCTCTTCTCCTCCGCCCTCCGTCGGGTATTTCTTGAGGGCAGCAGGAGGAGGCCTAGGCCCTCCGCAGCCACTATGCCATCAGTAGCCCCCACAGCAGCCATTCTGCCTTTTGCATGCATTCTGCCATCAGCAGCTGTTGTGCCGTCATTGTGCAGCAATTGTTTCATCATTGTGCCAACGTACCCTCCGAAGCCATTGTGCGATCAGTAGCAGTTTTTGAGTACTCCCGCAGCCCCACGTGCCGCAGCCGCGTAACCTCAGAGGGTCTCTGTAATGCTGCCAGTGACCCCCCCCCCAACGATTCTCGGCTGGCAATACAACTCGTCCTTCTCCGTCTCGTCCTTCTCCTCCTCGTCCTTCCCCTCGTCCTCACACGCAATGGGCAATCCGTCAGTCATCCCGCTTTCCCATTCTTGGGGGGGGTAAAGACCCCCTGAGGTTACCCGACTCTTCGCCGCCCCTCCGCGCGCTCCAAGGGATGCCGTTCCGCTCGGCGGCCGTCGCGAGCCCGGTGCGTCAGGAGCCTGTCCTCGTCGTCCTCGTCGTCCTCGCTCCTCGTCCTGGAGACCTTCGTCGCCTCGTCCCCCCTCCTATTCCTCTCCGCGTCCTCCTCTTCCTCTCCGCTTTCTCCTCGGTTCCTCCTCCTCGTCCTCCTGGAGCCCCACGTCCCCAGCCGTCCTCGCCATCCTCTCGACCCCGAGGGCATGCCCGAGCCCCGGGCCAAGCGCGCCAAGCGGGAGGAGGCCGCCGCGGAGCGAGTGGCCATCCTGGACGCCGGGGCCCAGTACGGCAAGGTGATCGACCGCCGCGTGCGCGAGATGAAGGCAGCCGTCGTCTCTTGCCGCCGCTGTCGCCGACGATGTCGTGGGAGGTGAAGTGGGAGGAGAAGAAGGTGGATGAGGAGGAGGAGGAGGAGGAGGAGGAGGAGGAGGAAAGGGAGGTGGAGTAGTAGTAGGAGGAGGAGGAGGAGGAGGAAGAGGAGGAGGAGGAGGAGGAGGAGGAGGAGGAGGTGGAGAGGAGAGGAGGAGGAGGAGGGGAGGAGGGAGGAGGAGGAGGAGGAGGAGGAGGAGGCGGAGGAGGAGGAGGAGGAGGAGGAGGAGGAGGAGCAGGTGCCGATACCGCTACCGCTACCCTTCCCTCGAGTTGGCCTTTTGGGGGCCTGCTGGAAGGCCCTCGTCGCCACGTCTGGATTCTCCTCAAAAGTCTGGTCAGAACATAGCCCTGGAGAGATCTGGAGAGTATCGGTGTCGGTGGGAGGAGCGTGAGGAGGAGGGGAAGGAGGAGGGGGAGGAGTGGAGGGGGGTGGAGAGGAGGGCAATGGGGCAAGGGGCAGGGGAAGGCGGAGGAGGAGGCCGACGACGGCGACGAAGCCGACGGAGCGGACGCGGACAAGCGCGACGACGATGATAACGACGGGCGGAGGACGAGGAACAATCGGGACGATGATGGGAGGGATGGGCGAAGGAGGAAGGAGGAGGAAGGAGGAAGGCGGGAGGGAGGCGAGAGGAGAGGAGGAAGGAGGAGCAGGAGCAGGAGCGGGAGCGGGGCAGGAGCAGGAGCGGGAGGGAGGCGGGGCGCAGGAGCGGGGGGGGAGGAGGGAGGAGGAGGGCGGGAGGGAGGCGAGGGGCAGAAAAACGAAGGACGGAGGACGGGGACGCTCGGGCGACGCGGGGGGAAGGATGTGCAGCAGGGCGGAAGGAGGTGGTGAACGGAGGAGGAGGAGGAGGAGGAGGAGGAGGAGGAGGAGGAGGAGGAGGAGGGGAGGAGGAGGAGGAGGGGGGAGTAGGAACAGAACGAGGGTGCGCAGAGGTTTGGAGGATGTGAGGTCGAGCGCAGTGCCGCAGACAGGGGGGGAGCCTTCCCTTACGTATCTGCTCCCGATCGCTATGGGAGGGCGCTCTCAGAGGGAGGTCCAGGCGATTCCAGCCGCGTCGACGATGGCACCCTAGGAGGCTCACCACTCGGCGAATCTCAAGAACAAAACCAGCAAAACAATGTCCGAAGGGAGAATACATGAACAAAAAAACATCGCAATTGATTGCCACCAGGGTTTTCGACACCATCTCGGTATAGGGTTTGAAGAGCCGGGCCGACCAGTGAGGGCCCCGGGGCCCGAGACTGTGGCGCGAGTGCTGGGCGTGGTTTTTTCACGACACCCAGATCGGGCGCTTAGGTCTGCAGCGAGATCGTCCCCCTCGACATCCCCGTCGCCCAGCTCAAGCAGGAGGGCTACAGCGCGGTGATCATCCCGGCGGCGCGAAGAAGGGGCCGGGGCGAGGGGGTGGGCTTGAGGAGGAGGAGGAGGAGGAGGAGGAGGAGGAGGGAGAGGAGGAGGAAGGAGAGGAGGAGGAGGAGGAGGAGGAGGAGGAGGAGGGGAGGAGGAGGAGGAGGAGGAGGAGGAGGAGGAGGAGGAGGAGGAGGAGGAGGAGGAGGAGGAGGAGGAGGAGGAGGAGAGGGCGGCCTGGCCTCTCGGAAGCCCCCCCGAGCTCGAGGATGCCTGCGCAGTGCCGACGCCTCCAGGACGGGGCGGCGGGGCCCTCCTAAGAAGCCCCCCTGCCTGCCCACCATCCCAGGAGATTCCAGTCCGATCGGGTCGGTGCGATTCGATGTGGAGTGCACTGCGGCCAGCTCGATCCGATCGGATTCTGATTTTCCGACGATCCGGTGCGGCCCGAGGCTTGCACGGAGCCGTCGTGCGTCCTCGCTCCGCTGCTCGCATCGAATGCCGACTCCGTGCCGGCGTAGCCCGGTCCGCCGCACAGTCCGATGCGATCCGAGTTCCCGGTTCGATGCTGGCCGATCCTACCCCCTCGCCCGCGCGCCAGGCCAGGATCGGCTCACAACCAGTTCCAGGACCGCGCCCAGCGCTCAGTTCCCCTGAGAGGGGACCTCGACAGGCCAGGGCCCATGGCGGGCCCGAGACAGTGTGCAGCCGTGGGTCGAGCCAATCTCTCCATGTCTCGATCCCTCCAAGCGAGTGACATTCGAAGGCGGGGCCTCTTCCGCCTCCTCCTCCGCCTCCTCCTCAGCCTCCTCCTCCTCCTTCTCCTCCTCCTCCTCCTCCTCCTCCTCCTTCTCCTGCCTGCGCCGACATTGGCGCGTCAGCTGCCCGCGCACGGTCGCGCGTGAGCGCCCTCGTTTCCCGCGTGGCGTGCCGCGCCGGCGGCCCGCGAGAGCCGCCGCGCAAGGTCGCGACGTCTTCTCGCGCGAGACCCGCTTCTTGCCGTCAGGGGGCCGAGCGGAGCCCTTCTGGCCAACACCTCGAGCGGCGCGCCCAGGCGTGGCGCGCGGAGCGCGCCCTCCGCGGGCCCCCGAAACACGCCCAGAAGCTCTGGTTCCTCGTGCTCGGCCCTCGCGGCAGAGCTCGGGCTTTTGCGCACGGGCAGCTCCCGAGAGGTGGCCCCCAGCATCGCGGAAGCGCAGACATGGGCCAAAGCGCATGGATTAGCGTTATGTCGGGCGTGTCCCCTTACAGGGGGATTTTCGATGAAAAAATACACCAAAAATGCCCTAAAAAGGTAAAACAATACTCAAGAAATAGTCCCCAGACTATGTTTGGAGCATGTTTGTATTATTTTTAGGGTACGTCGAAAATGCCCCTGTAGGGGGACAGGCCCGACTGAAGATTAGCGACGCCTGCATCTAATCGGCGCCCTCCGCCCCCCAAATCAAGCGACACTGGCCTCGTGCTTCCGGGGGCGCATATTCCCCAACTCCGTGGCCGTGGCGCCCCACCCGCCAGCTTCCTGGATCCCTATAGCCCATGCTGCCGTGTGCCCGACACGTGGCCTCGACATGCTCGTGGGGTGGCCCCAAGCGGTGTGATATCTCGCAGAGCACCCTGGGGGGCGCCGCTGGAGGCTGCGCGGAGGGGGCGTGAGACCGGCCTGGATCACAGTTGGCACACCAAAGAAGAAACCAGCCTGCCAGCAGGTGCCCCGCGGCAATTTCGCATCTCCAAGCTGGGACCACCATTGGGAGCGGCCCGTGCACGGCCCGGATCCTTGCCATTCCCGATGCCCCGCCCCCGGGTGCGCGCGGCCAATCGTCAGCGGGGGCCCGGGTAGCGCCAGCGCCGCGAACGCGCCCGCGTACGACCCGGAGCTGTTCTCCTG